TCCCACCCCCCACTTCTTACAGAAAGTGGGGAGTGGGGTAGGAGTATAGCCACCCAGAAGCAGCTTCCACAGCTTTGAGGTAACACAGAAATAAGGAGGCACAAAGTTCAGTTTATTTAATGGAGGCCCACACAGAGCCTGAGTAGACCTGATCATCAGCACAAGCTTGCCTAGGAAGGGGGTGTTTTTAAAGCTGTCACTGTGCATGAATACGCCACAGATTTGAGGCTCCTGGCAAACAGTATTTGTTTACTACTGTATAGACATAGCACTAGGATGCTGAAAAGCAGACTCCTTCTGCTCAAGACTGCGCTCACTTGCACGACAGATTTGTTTGTCCTCCTACTCTAGATTTGTCATATGGCAATGCGCAGCAACACTGATGGTTCTTGAGGGTTTCTTCCCCCTCTTTCCACCTACTCTGATGCCACCAACGCTGCCCCTTCTACACTCGGCTGACCTTTTTCCTGCCACTTGCCATAAGCAAATCCACAAAGGTTGAAATATGTCTGGGTGCCAGCCTTCGACATGTTCAGATCCACAGTGCTTTTGACAGCCTTGGAAATGTGATCCCAGTTTCTTCACTGGGCTTATCTTGTGTATGGTGAAACGTACATTGCCAAGTTTTGTTAGTTGTTGGTTTTTAAACTGGCACCTGCACATCGGTCTAATATTTCAGATACAGGATGATATTTCATCATGTCATAAATATACAGAACATTTCTGTCTCCCCTGTGTCATCTCTTGGTTATGAGATGGACAACTGGACTTCTCACCAGCTTCCCCGAATCAAGAAAAGTCCAGAGCTCAGTTGCAGTAATTAAAAATATGTTATGTTACAGTGGATGCCTGAAACTCAGTACCTGTTTAAGGTCTCCTCCATACTGGTTTTGTTTGTTTCTGTGTGTTTTTTGCAGGTGTGATTGACACAGTAATAGTGCATTATACTGAGCCATCCACACAGCATTCTGCTTTATTTGTTCTGTAATCCTTTCCCAATATTATTTCACTATTGCCATCTGGAGGGGTACTCTTGCACTATGGTGCAACAAAAGCAGGATGCACAAATACACAGAGAACACTTTTGGTATAAAAGGTCACAGGATTTCAGCAGCAGGTTACAGGACATGCACCGACTGGGGTTGCAGCAGTGTGCCCACCGAGTTTTGAAAGTGAGATCACATATAACTGCCCCGATACCATCGTGAGCAAAAAGGATTGTGAATGAACATTACAAAGGCTGCCTGAAGGGGCCCTAAGTCTCGGATATGAAAACAACTTCCATTATAAAGGAAAATAAGAGCCAGAATAGACACTATCCTGGGCTGGTTTTGGAAGGGAGGGAGGGAGGGAGGGTCAGTATGGACCAGTACCATTGTCCATGGGAAATGGGATCTGATGTTGTTGTTGTTGTTGTTGTTGTTGTCCATCCACACATGCTGTGGGCCAAGAACCATAATAATGGTTGCCAGAACCATTAGAGGACCTCAATAGTTGCATACCCTTCAACACTTCTCTGATGAAAATAGGAACATCCCATTCCATAATGATAAATTTACTATTTATACCTCACGCATCTTATTGGGATGCCCCAGCACTCTGGGCAGCTTCCACCATATATAAAAACATAATAAAACTTTAAACATTTTTTTAAAAAAACTCTTTCCTATACAGGATTGCCTTCAGATGGCTTGGGGGTCGGATAACTCTATACCGTCCAACATTTCTCCAATGAAAATAGGGACATACTAAGGAAAAGAGGGGCAGTCTGGGATCAGGTCAGAAACTGGGATGGTTTCTCTAAATCAGGGACATCCCTGAGAAATAGGGACACTTGGAGGGTCTGTAGTTGCATGGAAGAGGCAATTTCAGTAGATGGGCAAGCCACGTCTGCTGAAATGGCAAGACTACTCCTGCTGCAATTCTCTCTCCTACACAGCTCTGAAAGGTGCATTGAACCATGTTTTCCTTTGCATCAGGCTACCCATGGTGGACCCGATTCAGATCACACACACACACACACACACACACCTTGCAGCTGATATCTCTTTTATGAAAAGTAACAACCATCAGCATGGAGAACCTTTATAGTTGCAAACCAGACCATTCTCTGCCTCCATCAGGCACAGAAAGCGTTGCAAATCTGCACACTCTCCATGCACTCAGCATCCTGCTAAATGAGGCCCTGATATTTCAGCTGAAAGCGCTTCCGAATATAAGCAGACTGCTGAATCTCTTCGTAGCAATATGCTGGTGAAACCAGAGGAGGATTTACCAGCCTATCTCCATCTTTCTAAGAAAAGTGACAGCCCCCTCTCCTTCTGAAAGTGTTTTCAGTGCTCCATTCTGCATGGCATGACACAGAGGCACAAAGGGGTCTTGATGCCTTGGGATTGTTTAATCATTTCTTGAAAACAATGCAAATGGAAGTCAAAGTTATTTTGATTTCCATCATCACAGACTGAAAAGGCCTTGGCTGAGTTCTTCTGCCAGACAATAGAAGAAAAGGCTGCAAAGAGATAACAAGGAAAAACATGATTAAATCACAGAAGTGACATAAAATCAATAGAGACAGCCAAGGATCAATAATTCTTTGCTCTGAGTAACAGTCGGCAGCGCTTGCACTCATTTTCAGATTTTTCCGACATTATTACTGACTTGATTTGAAGAAAAAGAGATGACTCTCTTTATTTTTAACAGCTCTTCTTATCTTCTGTGTACGTTTAATATTCATCAACTGCAATTAAAGGTAGTTTAACCCATTCAGGGCAGGCAGTGAGTTTGTTCTAATTCTTCATTAAGGGCCAAACCACCTTTTTTCAAATAGCAGCTTCAGCAGAGCAGGGTAGGGGGAAGGAGGGTATTGATCCAGATCAGGACAGTGGCAGAGGGGAGGGGGTTATCCTTTTTCCCTACTCTATTTTTTCTGATGAAAATTTCACCCCTATGCTACAAATTGCTCCAGTAGGAAGAGGTTAAAGATCCCTTCCCCTCTCACATGTCATAGTTCTAAGCCAGATTGGGAGGACCCCAAAGTTGCTATTTGAAAACAATTTAAAAAAGTGAGACAAAGATACATTCACTCACTCATCCTGCTAGTCTGGCCCTGAATGTATAAGCACATCAGCAATGGAAAAATAAAAGATCTAGAGTGAATCATTAGTGTGCAATGAAGCACACACACATCACTTCGAGTGGGGTATCAGGAATCACCCTAATTTGAGACATGATGCTGTTGATGCATGGAGATGTACCTAATTGAATTTCCCTTGGGGCATGAATGCAAGAACAGCCTTGCTGGATCAGGCCAAAGGCCCACCGAGTCCAGCATCCTGTTCTCACAGTGGCTAACCAGATGCCCATAGAAAACCCACAAGGGGAACCAGAGTGTAACAAGACCGCTCACCTTTTGCGGTGGGCAGCGTTGCGGCTGGGCATCCAGAGCTGTTCCACCAGGCCTTTGGCCAAGGCACAGTCTGACCCCCTCTCTCCTTTTGTAATCCTCATAGAACTCTAGCCCAATGGTTGCCATTAATTTGACTCTGAACTGATTTTAGAATGAATTGATTTTAGAATGTATTTCAATTAATTGATTGTGATACTATGTAAACTGTGTTATTTTTACTGTTGTTAGCCACTCTGAGCCCGACTTTGGCTGGGGAGGGCGGGATACAAATAAAATTTATTATTATTATTATTATTATTATTATTATCCTCGCAGTGATCCAGGTCGGGGTCAGGGAATTGACGCCTCCCTTGTGCCAGCCCCAGCCATGTCATATCCTGCCCACCCGGCTGGCCAATCAATGCTGGTGGGGGCGTGGCCACGGGTGTTTTAAACCGCAGTGTGGTTGGGGGCTTACCTCTCGCCTCCTCACCGGATCTGCTTCTCCAACAATCACCACCTTGAACTTTGCTTTGCTTCCATTGGATTCCTGTTCAGGCTGCGGCTTCGACACCGGCTTCTACTTGCTCTGCTCGCAATTTATCAGCAAGCGTCTAGTTTTGGTTGGAGTTTTGTCTGATGACTAAAAGGAGTTGCTCTCCCCTACAGTTCATGGCATGGTGAAGATACAGTGGTACCTCGCAAGACGAATGCCTCGCAAGACGGAAAACTCGCAAGACGAAAGGGTTTTTGGTTTTTTGAGTTGCTTCGCAAGACGATTTTCCCTATGGGCTTGCTTCGCAAGACGGAAACGTCTTGCAAGTTTGTTTCCTTTTTCTTAACACCATTAATACAGTTGCGACTTGACTTCGAGGAGCAATTCGTAGCACGCGGTGTGGTAGCCTTTTTTGAGGTTTTTGAAGACTTTGGTGATTTTTGAAGCTTTTCCAAAACTTTCCCGAAACCGTGCTTCGCAAGACGAAAAAACTCGCGGAACGAATTAATTTCGTCTTGCGAGGCACCACTGTACACTAGTAGTGGAGAAACACGTATCTGTGGACTGGAACTATCCTGTAAAGCCTTTTGAACCAGCCCAGTAGCCTCTTATTTTTTTAAGGAGCTATTTTAAAAAAGCCATTGCTTAGAAGTGCTCAGCGACAATCATTTGTCTTCCAGAGTGCTTGGCAATCTGCTTCGCTTGTGCGGCGTTGATACATTTTCCTGTTAATCATTTGTTAATTTCTCACTTTTCAATGCATTTCCCTGTCACTTTCCTAACCGCAAGAAGGCAGTTCTTTTTTTAGAAGTAGATTTGTTGGGCTTGCGCAACAGAGCACTTTAATCCAGGTCAGAGGTACTGGAAATATCAGTGGAGGGGTGCCAAATGGATTAATTAATTAATTACACAAACCCATATTTCCCAGCAGGCCCTTGAGTCCCTCCTGCAAGATGCTGACAGTCTAGATGAGGTCCTTAGTTTCCGTTTCATGTTCTCTCCGTTTGTGAGACTGAAGGTGGACCAAATAGTTTGTTGCTGTAAGTGAAGCAGTATGACCCCACAGCAAGCCTAGAGCTTCCTTGTAGCCACCCATGTCCCTGTAAGCAAGAAAAATAAAGAGGAAAACCATTTTCTTTATTTAGAACATGCCAGTTTACTGTATTACCATTTATTATTTAGCGTTTAGGTGTCAGTGCCATTGCATTAAGTGAACAAATTGCAAAGGAGACTAACAAAGCAGCAATGAAGGCTGTCAGAAAATCAAATGGACCCATTGCATTTACTCCTGGGGTAGGGGAAAAAAAAAACACCAGGCACCTGACAAATTTCATTTTGTACATTACAGCTCTGTTGAAAGAAAATGCAAGCAAAGAATCCTATTTGCTGGTATGTCACCTGTAAAACAATTGGTGCATGTCTGAGCAACACTTATCAGAAGCAGAAATTCAGAGATCTTGATGACAAGGAGAGGGGAACAACTGAAATGCATATAAAAAATGAAGCCAAATATTCTTCATGTATTCAATGCATTTAAAATATGTCGTTTCCTCAATCGGCAGGGGACTGGGCTGGATGAATGCTGGAGTCCCTTCAAACTCATAGGATTACATGAAATTAATATTTTGTAAATGGCAAGACAGCAGACAAAGCAGTACAGGAAACACCACAAATGCAAAATATTTCCCACAGCTTGGTCCCCAAATCCTTTCTTTTTTTTTAATAAAAAAAATTTTCTTCATGAGCCGAACTGGAACAAACTCCACTATTAAGTTCCGCTGGTTTTTTCAGATGTGAGCACAGTGGAAAGCCATTTGTTTCAAGTCCCACACCCCTGCTCCATCCAAGCAAACAAACGTCCTCTTAATATTGCATGAAATCAACTTATATAAAAGTTTTACAGCTCTGAGTGAAGGGAGATGAAAGAGACTTTCTCAGTTGTCAGAAGATGAAAGCTGGAGGTGGAGTGTCATGGGGACTTCCTGTCCAATTGCCTATCCTTCTGTTCTTCAGACATTACTAACTGGGCATCGCTGTAAGCACCTGCTGAGGGTGATGAGTCACAGAACAAGCCAAGAGCTGAAACAAGTAATAATCAGGAAATATAATCATTACACAAGCAAAGTTCCAGGTTGAAGAAGCGGCCTTTTGGCCTTCTTGTTGAAATGGACCAGTAACTAACCTGGGTGAGCAGATGGCCAGCCCAGTACCTGGAACCCATCCCCTGTCAGGGCAAATGCTCTAGCCCAGCCTTTCTCGACCTGTGGGACCCCAGATGTTGTTGAACTACAACTCCCATCATCCCTGAGCTCTGGCCTTGCTAGCTAGGGGTGATGGGAGTTGTAGTTCAACAACATCTGGGGACCCACAGGTTGAGAAAGGCTGCTCTAGACCAACCTTCCTCCACCTGATGTCCTCTAGGTTTTATCAACCTCAGCTCCTATCAGTTCCAGCTGGTGTGGCCAATAGTCAGGGATTGTGGGTGTTGCAATCCAACAACATCTGATGGCACTGGGCTTGGGGAGGTTGCTCTTATCTGGTGGCTCACAATTTGGGGCACCTGCACAAAGAGCTTGGGGTTCTTGGACAGCTGGTGAGATGGGATCCAGCTTTAAGGAAATGGCAAGTAACTGGGCCTCACTGTCCTGATTGATAGACTGTGTAACCTAACACAGAACATCACAGCTGCTTTTCTAAAGAAGATAGGGCCAGCCCTAACATTAGGCAGAGTGAAGTGGCTGCCTCGAACAGCAGATGCTGGAGACAATGGTGAGGTGATGGAGGGCAGGGCATGTGTGTCATTTGGCCTGTCCTAAGCTAGCTTGCTAGGGATGCGGGTGGCGCTGTGGTCTAAACCACAGAGCCTAGGACTTGCCGATCAGAAGGTCGGCGGTTCGAATCCCTGCGACGGGGTGAGCTCCGGTTGCTCGGTCCCTGCTCCTGCCAACCTAGCAGTTCGAAAGCATGTCAAAGTGCAAGTAGATAAATAGGTACTGCTCCAGTGGGAAGGTAAATGGTGTTTCTGTGCGCTGCTCTGGTTCGCCAGAAGCGGCTTAGTCATGCTGGCCACAGGACCTGGAAGCTGTCTGCGGACAAACGCCGGCTCCCTCAGCCAGTAAAGCGAGATGAGCGCCACAACCCCAGAGCCGTTCACAACTGGACTTAGCAGTCAGGGGTCCCAGCGTGGTGTAGTGATTAAGAATGGTAGACTCATAATCTGGTGAACTGGGTTTGATTCCCCGCTCCTCCACATGCAACTGCTGGGTGACCTTGGGCCAGCCACACTTCTCTGAAGTCTCTCAGCCTCACTCACCTCACAGAGTGTTTGTTGTGGGGGAGGAAGGGAAAGGAGATTGTTAGCCGCTTTGAGACTCCTTAAGGGGAGTGAAAGGCAGGATATCAAGTCCAAGTCCAAAACTCTTACCTTTACCTTTAAGCTAGACTGCTATCCTTGGGTGCAATGGAGGAAGCTGTCTTGTCACTAATTTTGAAGACTCGGCGGTCAGTCTGGTCAGCTTCTGGATGTGGAACAGCTGGAAATCTTGTCCATCTCAAAGTTGGTGTTGACAAAAGGAAGGATCAGAAGCTCTTCCTAGAGTGAAATGTAAAGTGAGATGAAATTCACTATTGCTCAAGGACAGTAATAAAACGCAGCAGGAAGGAGGGTTTCAGAAATGTTCTCATGCTTAAATCTTCACAGGGAAAGTCCACCAGAACTAAGTAACCAAATACAGGGAAGTTTTCCACTGCTGAAACCCACACAACACTGTCTGTCCTGGGAAATACAGCATTCCAATCTTTTGTGCTTTAACCACAGTGAACAAACAGAGGCTCTGCTTTCAAGTTGAAGGTTTCTTTTTTAACTGTTTTTAATTGCAAAGAGAAGTTTATAGTCTGGTAATATATAGCCCCGTAAATCATCATTAAAATGCTTTGAGTCATGAAACAATAATAGGAACAAAAATCAATGTGTGTATATCAAAAGCAAGAGATTTATACATGACCTGGGATGATAGGACAAGAAAGCCAATGTTTACCATCTTTAAGAATAGCTGTGTCATTTGGAGGGGGTTGTTTGGGGAAAAAAGCATGACTAATAGAATCAATACAGACAATATTTAGAAATTCCTGGGTGGGATTTGTGTTCTTAGACTTCAGGTGAATTTGCAAGATAAGAATGAGACTTTCAGTAAATATAAATCCAGAATTCTAACTTTTTCAGCTGTTTTAAGAATACACAGTTATGTTGATGTTTCCATGGTTGGTGCCAGAGACCAGACAAATCCAGCAGATTCTGCTTCAGTCCTGATTTCTGCATTGTTGGAGAGGGTCTTGTAGGCATCTTGTCCAATCCCTTGCTTGAGGCAATGAATCCTGAGCCACAGCCGGCTCTACCATGAACCAAAATGAAGCAACTGCTTCAGGCAGCTTTCAACTATTTTTTCAACAATTTCTGGTTGCCATGACACAAGCAATTTCCTGGGCTACTTTGCCCATAATGCCTTGCTTTGAAGGACACCTAGGCCTTCCTCAGAGCAAGACAGAGGGGAAAGGGTGTCAGCATGGCCAGTGCTGACACCACATTAGCAATTGAGAAGTAAGTGGAGGGGGGAGCAAGTAGGGCAACTGAGCAGTGGGGGCTGCCTCAGGAGGTGCAATGTATTTGTTGTTGTTGTTTAGTCATTTAGTTGTGTCCAACTCTTCGTGAGCCCATGGACCAGAGCACACCAGGCACTCCTGTCTTCCACTGCCTCCCGCAGTTTGGTCAAACTCATGCTAGTAGCTTTGAGAACGCTGCTCAACCATCTCATCCTCTGTCGTCCCCTTCTCCTTGTGCCCTCCATCTTTCCCAACATCAGGGTCTTTTCCAGGGAGTCTTCTCTTCTCATGAGGTGGCCAAAGTATTGGAGCCTCAGCTTCAGGATCTGTCCTTCCAGTGAGCACTCAGGGCTGATTTCCTTCAGAATGGATAGGTTTGATCTTCTTGCAGTCCATGGGACTCTCAAGAGTCTTAGACTGGCCTTATAGAGCATCTCCTCTGCCTGAAAAGGAAGGGCTGTGTTGAGCATCTGCAAGATATATAAAGCTGCTCCATCAGGTTTTATGTATGCCCCATGCCCTTCGGCTGAGGAAGACCACAGATCTCTCTGCCTCCTGAGGCACTCCAAAACCTTGGAGCTTCCTTTTACAAATATCTAATTTAATGGGAATGGCCTTTGTCCAATGCAGACCCTCCAAGTGTCCCTATTTTCCAGGGACAGTCTCAGATTTACAGAATCCATCCTGGTTTTTTATTTGATCCTGGAATGTCCTGTTTTTTTTAGGACATCCCTATTTTCATTGAAGAAATGTATGGAGTTATGAGACCCCCAAGCCAAGGAGATAACTAAATTATAACCTTTAGAAGACATCTGAAGACAGCCCTGTAGAGGGAAGTTTTTTAATGTTACATATTTTATTCTATGTTTATATATGTTGGAAGCCTCTGGGCAACCCAGTCAAAGGGGTGGGGTATAAATATTAGCATTAGTATTACGGATTAGGACGTCCCTATTTTCACTGGAGAAATGTTGGAAGGGTATGTTTGTCCAATGTACAGAATTTTCACTTCTCTGTCTCATTAGGCCTTCAAATCTTTCCTTTTCTTTTGGCAATAAATAATATATAGGACAGTATCTGATGAGATGGATGAAGCTGTCTGTTTTATATATATATTTATATATTTTTCTTGCGTATGTGCCTGGCATCGCAATCATTCCTGTGTGTTGAGAGAGCTGAGTGACACTTTTTAGCAGCTCACTATTTATAGGGTTGTGGAAAGGATGTCTATTCCAGAGGCTTTTACCTTAACCTAAACCAGGAAGGCACTTATAAAATTGAATTGGCTGCTTAGAGAGCTCATATTCTATTGTAAATTACAATCTATAGTTCTGTCTGACTGCCGGACCATCAGGAGATCACAAAACTGCACGGATTCTTGTTTTCTGATTAAATTTAGGCTACTATCCTTCTGTGCCAGATTTCTTAAAAAAGAAAAGAAATAGGCAGAAGCAGAGAGGTAAATACATTATCAGGAAATATATTTTTATAGGAACAAAATTCTATACATAACGCTAGAAACAGATCTCAAATTCAGCCTGCTATAATTTGGGACTAAGTGTTATGGAGATAATGCAAATTTATTTTTGGTTTAAAGAGAAGGATATTTGGTCTGGCATCCTTCCTATGAAAGTTGATCATGCCGCTCAAATGTCATTTGTCAGGAACCTGCGGTCACCTTGTTTGTCAATACTCTTGCAATGTTCCTGATCTTAAAGACATAAACTGTTCTATTGCTGGATTTGACTGCAGATACTTGCCTCCAGAGATCATTACAATGATTTCTAAACAAGCACTAAAATGCTAAGTACCTCAAATTACCCAACATTTCCTACAGAATGTGTGATTCTTAGGAAATACATCTTACTTGTATTGGAAGTACTAGAGCAGAGATCATTCAGTTAGTAACCTAACAATTAATTCTGTTAACAGTCAACCAACAAAGGGGTGGTGGTGATGGTGGATGTGCTGCCTAGCAACTGGTCAGAATGGCATGATCCTTGCTGAGGTAAACTGAGTTCTGATTGGCTAGTTAGTGTTGAGGGAGTTTTCATCTGAATGTTAGTTGTATGGACTGACATACATGTATCAACTAGGCCTGAATTACTACGAAGGACAAACACTCCTCTGTTTATTTCTCCTCATATGATGTACCATACTTTTATTCTTCCATTTACCCAGTAAAGTATTATGCATTTCTCTTCTATCTGTATTCCATCTGTGTTATTTAAGGGACTTTGCTAACAAGTGGGATTTTATGTCTCTCTCACTGTACTTCCCTCATTTCGTAACATCCTTCCCCGCCATTTAGGACAAACCCTTGAGATCTTTGTCCCATTTCTGTAAGTCACACAATGCTATATACTGGCCTCAAAGGAATGGCTGCGAGGAACAGAACTGAGATAATCACTGAACAAGATTAGCTTTGAAGTACAGTATGGTGAGGGGTCCTTTTGTGATACATCATATTTTACTTTTCTTTTTCTTATAATAATTTTTATTAAGTTTCCATTATACAAATTTACCATATCACATTTTTTTTTTACAAATTCCAACTTTTAGACTTCCATCAGCTTCTCTGCTAATCATCCATATTTTTACATACTTTAAGCATTCCCTATATATAATATTGCCTTTTAACATACCTTTACTATCCTATTTCTTTTTAACAATATTCCTCTAGCTTTCACAAAACTTCTTTAAATCCCACCAGCGTTGTTTGTTCATCACATATACTTTTCAGATATTCTGTGAATTTTCCCCAGTCCTCAATGAACCTGTGATCCCGTTGGTATCTAATTCTAATCTTCCCAGTCAATTTGTCCAACTCTGCATAGTCCATAAGCTTCATTCTCCACTCTTCAAGGGTCGGTAGTTCCTCCTGTTTCCATTTCTGGGCCATTAGTATTCTTGCTGCCGTTACTGCGAATTGAAAAAGTTTATAGTCCCTTCTATTTATCTCACTTCCTGTTATTCCTGACAGAAAGGCTTCTGGTTTCTACATCATATCTTCCTTTTCAAGTGACTCCCACCCTCAATTTCGTCCCTATGTTCCTTTTTTCATTCCCAAAAGCAGAAGAAAAGAGGCATGCCCCAATAATGTTTTTGCACAATAACAGCTCGTTTACATTTGCTGAGCAGAATCCATATATCTCCCCTTAAGTTTGCACTTCCTTAATGGAGAATATTGCACTCCAAGCACTCTTTGGTATAAAAGGCAGTACTTCCCCCAGACAACACATACTTGGCTGATGAGATTGTTGGGTGGAATTGCTGTGCGAGAATCACAGGCATGTATTGGACGTTATCTGTGATGTCATGGTACAGATAATGAGCGGTGCAACTTCCTCCCTCAAATGTGTTCAGTTTTGCGAAACCTAGCCAGCTATTGGCTATGTACACCCCTGCTGTTCCAACCCTTAACACTATAGTGATCAAAGCTGCTTTGAAGCAGAAAACAAAACCCAATGGGGCTTTGTGAGTGCAGTCCTATGCATGTTGATATGGGGGAGGGATAAGCCCTGTTGGACACAGTGTGTCTTCCCCCTGAGAAAACATGCATGGAATTCAGTTGCAAATGGATCTGTTTGTCCATCCAGCCCGGTACTGTCTACTTTGACTGGCAGTGGCTCTCCAGAGATTCAGGAGGGGCTGTGTAACTCACCTTACCTCTGTCTCCCTGAGTCTTTGCAGCATACCAGGCAGGAGAGAGGGAAGGGGAGGGTTACTGTGGTGGTGAGGTTGGTGCAGTGCGAATGTGTGGGCAGAGCCAATCAAGCACTCAGTCAAACAGAGCTCTAGTGTACAGCACAGACCTACCATGCCATCCACTGCTCACAGGAACATAAGGAGAGCCCCTGGGTCAGGTTAATGGCCCATCTAGTGACATATCCTGTTCTAACAGTGGCCAACTAGGTGCCTGTAGGAAATCTGCAAGCAGGATTCGAGCACAAAGGCACTTTCCCTTCCTGTAGTTACCAGTAACTGTACGACTCATGCAACACGTTGGCGACTAATATAAACACAATAATTATACATTCTTTATCAATCTTCCGAGAAAAATACAAAACCTTATGCAAAGCCACAGAGACTTGTGAACTACCCAACCTAAGATGAACTTATAATGTCTGATTTCAATGGATTTTTCAAGTGCTTTTTAGGTGAGTTCATGAAGATACCAACAAAAGGTAAGTTCGGTGTTGTTCACAATACCGAGAGATGCTAGTGAGGTTGTAGATGGATGTTAATGAAGTTGTACCTGTTTTGCACCTGTTTCGCCCTGGTAGTCTTCATGAACTTACCCAAAAAGATAAAGAAAACAAAAGACAGAGTTAAGCACTTGAAAAATCCATTGAAATAAGACATTCACATAAGTTCATCTTGGGTTGGGTAGTTTGCAAGTCTCTGTGGCTTTGCATAAGGTTTTTTATTTTTCTCAGAAGATTGATAAAGAATGTATAATCATTTTGGTAATTATTGTGTGTATATTAGTCGCCTACAGCTGTAGAGGCATAAACCTAGCCATCATGGCTAGTAACCATCAATATCCCTCTCCATGAATTTGCCAGATCCCCTTTTTAAAGGTTGTTGGCCATCACTGGCTCCTATGAGAGTAAGATCCACAGCTGAACTATGCTCTGTGTGAAAAAGAGCTTTCTTTTATCTATCCCAACACTTCCAGCATTCAGCTTCCTTGAATGTCCATGAGTTCTAGCGACATGAGATCGGGGGGAAAGCTTATCTCTACCCACTTCCTCCATGCCATGCATAATTCTATAAACTTCTTTCATGTCCCCTCTTGCTTGTCTTTTCTCCAAACTCCAAAGTCCCCTTTCTTCATAAGGGACTCACTCCATCCCCTTGATCATTTTGGTTGCCATATTCTGAACCTTTTCCAACTCTACAATATCCTTTTTAAGATGAGGCAGTAGGGTTCTTATGCCTGAGTCTCCAGAGAGCCTCTGCCAGTCAGTGCTGGATATGGACAAATAGTCGGCTTCCTGTGACCTCTACACAGACTTGACCTCCCTTGAGAACCTAGACTTTGGTTTTTACTCATGCCTGAAAGAGAAAAGAACACAGTGCTGTGCCTTTAATCATGAACTTCCTGATCTTTCACCTGTTTGTATGGTGAGGTCACACTAGAATTCACTGGGTGTAACACTTGTTTTGCTTGAACTTATCTACAGTAAAGAGTCTGGCAATGATCTACTACTTGGAAGCCTTTTTATTGTTGGAGATTATCCAACGCTTTATTTTTATATTTTATACTTTTTGAAGAGGAGGAGGAGGAAGAAGAAATCAACCACCTCATCTAGATGGGCTGCAAATGGAGCTGAAGATTCAATCCTACTTTTTGCCTTGAATTGCAATGGTTGCTTTCCCAGCAAAGACAGAGGCCAGCTTCAGATGCTGCACATAGTCACCACTTCATGCAAGCACTGAATTGCTTTGCACTTGTAGATTCGATGTGAACCACCAGAGCACTGATGTGCTCTGTTCTATCCTGTTGTTACAATGGATCTCTTGTCCCTCTCACAGCTTCTCCTACCCTGATCCTCCCTTTGGTCTATCATCTGATGGAACAAGAAGGGCCCAACAGCAGCCAGCCCTACCATTAGGCAGAATGAGGCAACTGCCTCAGGCAGCATATACTTGGATGGGGGCAGCATTCCCCTAAACATAGTGCGAAGATCAGGTGACTGTATTTACAGTCTTGGTGCTGTCGGTGGGTAACTCCAGGTGCCCTCTGCTTTTCATCTTTAAGCCAGACTTGGATCAGACAACCCATTAAACAGACAATCTCTTCAATCATAGAGGAATGTCCTCCAACAGCCCTTCAAATAGAGAGCTGGCCTCTGTAAAGTTGGACACAATGACACCCTAAATGGTAGAGGCTGCCCATATCGTCTTACCTTTAAAACGTGTGTTTGGAACAAGTGCATTAAGATGATATCAGCTATCAGAAATCCAGGTATTTGTTTTGTGGTGTTCTGTTGTTTTTCCCCCTGGACAAATGATTTAGAAAAATAAAATCAATGCAGTGTTTTTCAGCTTGCTGGAATCTTAGGGAAAGATGGTCTCCTGTTTATACAATAAAAACCACTGTGAACCTTTTAGACCTCGACATGGCAATGAGCTGTTTAAAAATAAAATGCTGTGGAGCTGTCCATTCTGCAAGCAGACATGCAGTTTTCAAGAAACGGTTTCATCCTGATGAGATGGCATGAGGCTCTGCTCCTGTTCAGCAAACCAGGAAGGCAAGAGACTAGAAACATGAAAGACACACAGGAGTGGCCCACCAGATAGAAGAGACGTACTATACCAGCTTCCCAGCAACTGGGTTGCTATTGTTTACTAGGAAGCAGGAGACAGGTGAGGCGGTGGGTAGGTTGGCATGGTGCAAATGCACTGGTGGAGCCAATCTAGCCCTTCTGCTGGTGTGCTTACAGCATGCTGGTCTCCCCACCACCTCATGCCTCTCCTTCCCAGTAAGCAATTGGGCAGAAAATGGAATTCACCCAGGTAACCTCCAGGTCTTTCATTTTTACACCTAAAGTTACATATGTCATGGACTGGCTGGATGCAGACCAGTGGTGTGGGGAATCAGCTGGGGAAGCCCCAAGGGAATCTGCAGGGGAAGAAGGATCAGAGCCAGGGCATTGGTGGTGGGATGACAATGAGTAGTCAGAGGGAGAAGAGGAAGCAGACTGGGAGGAGGAAGTGTCAGAAGCTGAAGAGGTAACTGGGTTTTGTGAGCAGGAAGAGGCTGTGGCAGAGGGCAGTCCAGAACCAGAGGCAACAGAGGAGGGGCCAAGAGAAAGAGATGAGGCAGGCTGCTGAAGAAGCCAGGGAATCTCCCCCTCCTGCTGCGACCAGCTCCCCTCTCTGCTGATCTCCCAGAACATGAAGAGGAATGAAGAAGGTGGAGCAAAGAGAGACAAGATGA